TGATTGTATTGCTTTTTTTGTAAAGGCTACAAAAAAAAAATTAGCCTTGGAAGGATTGATTTGTTGTTATTTAATTTAATACATATTTATATGTTGTTTCAGTTTTGCTATGTGAAACACTTTTGGGCTGCATATTTATATGGAACGTGCTATATAAATAAATAGTTACATAAATGTGAAATATATTATGAAATATCTTACGCTTTTGTTGAAATCTCTGTGTTCTACTTTGAGTATGTAATTATTTACATGTATATGTCATATTCATAGAGAGTTTGTATGACTGTGGTTGTTTGTTTGGAACTTTATGGTTGGTTATGCACATGACTACTACATGTTTTCTTTCTACAAGGTTGATGTGAGCACACACACTTTATTGTCTGTTCTTCCACACTGATGTCCTGATTTATAGGACTGACAGTTTATAGGACTGACAGCTGAGAAGAGTCACTGTCACTGTACAGGTTGTTGACAGGTTGTTTTAGGTCTGTATTAGCAGGTTCTTTGTCTTTTTACTGGTTGACGGGGAAAATAGCAGTTGTTGTGGATGTTTGACTGCATCTATGTGGCTAATAAAGCTAATAAATTAAAGCTCTCTCTCTCTCTCTCTCTCTCTCTGTTTTTGTCAAATCGTGAGCACTTTACAAATATGAGAAATAAATGAGCCCATACACTAAAAGGTATTATTATATATATATATATATACCAAGGTTGTGGTATTTTTTAAAGTTTTTATTAAATGTATATATAGCAAAGTATGTGTATTGGATATGTGGTGCAGTGAATGCTAGGGATGTGAATCCTCACCACTGAGGCCGATTCGATACACATCTCGATAGGCTGCCAGCGATACGATACATTAACGATACAGTGGACCCCCTGCCGATACGATGCGATACGATTCACCTCTGTTCACGATGCGATGCGATTCATTTATGATTTGACAACGATTTGACTTTATACAATGCGATTCGGTTCGATACGATACGATTCATGATGCGATTCAACACAATACAAAGGATTTACAAGCCCACATCTGGTTTCTAATGTATTTGATACTTGATTGTTTTCTATAAAGCAAACCAATGAATCCAATTTAAAAAGAAAGTTGCAATTCAATATGGTACAGACAGAGGATTGGTTTATTCCTAATAAACACTAAATCATAAAAAAAGAATATCATCAATTGAGAATTATACAACAATATAACAGTTAAACAAAAATACAAAATATCAACTGCTTACAAATGTAAGTGTAAAAAAATGTAACTATTGACTCACAGTCACAGGAACTGTAAACATCACTCACACTGAGGTATATCAACGATATAAAAGTAAAGTGTAAATGTAAAGACTTCTAGTCTTTCTTTTCAAAGTGCAAAGTCCACACTACTGCTGCACTCCCTTGTAGTGAGGAAAATAAAGTGTTGATGTGATTTCTATAGAACAAAAAATAAATAAAGAAAACCTTTGTTAAACAGGTCTTTCATAACTGCTGCATACGTATGCTTACTTATGCATACAGCATAATTTGCTGTTTGCAAAAAAGTATTATTGGCAATCACAGGCTGCCAATAAGTTATTTATTTCATATGGCTTAGTGTCAGGTTTTTTTTCCAGGAATATTTGTTGGTCAACATGTTCAGGAAGAAGCAGACTGCGCTGTGCTGTCACTATGTCACCAGCTGTGCTAAAGACATGTTCTGATGGGACACTGCAGGGATGGACAAGTAGCTTCTGGCCAATTTGGAAAGCAGTGGAAGATCCTCCTGTTCTTTCCACCACTGCAACACATCACCATTCAGAGCTAAACAATCCCTCCCCCTGTACTTTGCAATTTCCTCCTTAGCTCTATCCCTTGTGCTCTTCTTGTGGGCTCTTGGAGTGAGTAAACCTCCAAACATCTGGTCCAAGGGTGACTTCTTTTTGGGGGGCTCTGGGAGTAGAGAAAATAGAGAAATAAAATTCAATTCTGTAGAATATTTTTACAATGATATCCTACCAATTTTCAAATCAACTCACTACAATATAGTTAAGTTTTAAGTTCATAACAAATAACAAAATAAAACAAACCTGTCTGTGCCTCTTCCTCCTTCTCTTCGTCGCTGTCATCCCATCTGTGGGAGCTCTGGTGGTCACCTACTGGTTCAGCTGCCGGTCTCTCATTCAGTGTGCCATCGTCCTCTGTCTGACAATAATCAGCACATATAAGCTATTAGATTTCTTTAAACTAAAAAAGATAAAAACAACAGTTAAGAAAAGCAGAGTAAATGTAAGGGTGAGAGTGAGACAAAGACACTAGATACAATATACTGAGCATTTTCTTACCATTTCCTCCACTTCTGCTGTTATCCTCAGGAATATGGTGTCCCTAGTGTTGTCGTCATCCAGGAATTCCAGCTCTTTGAAGCGGGGATCAAGTGCTGAGGCTTTGTTGAGGAGGTCTTGGATATATGTGTAGCGGGTGTCAAAGTCCTGTCTGAATTTCTCCTTCATCTCGAAAATGACCTGTAGATCACTGTCATCTGGCTCAAAATCTTCCTGCAGTTTGGCCGTGTTGGGGCAATGATTGAGATGGTGGGGGTCTTTTCCCCACTGAGGCACTTAGTTGCCACTTTGAGCGGGGTCATCAGTTTGATGATCTCTGGGAGTAGGGTCAGTTCTTCATCTGTGATGCTGGGCAGGCCTTTTGTCTTTACTCTCCTGGTTGTCAGCGACAGTGTCACAGCAGGCTGCTGTTCCCAGAAACGCTCCATCATCTCCAAGGAACTGTTCCACCTTGTGGAAACATCATGCACTGGTTTGTGGTGTTTCAGGTGCAACTGGGTTTGGATTTCATGCAGCACTTCACATGCTTTTAGGGCTTTTGTGGAAATAGGTCACTATCCTCCTCATTTTTACCAAGAGTGCTGACACTGTGTCCACTTGTAGTGCTTTTTGAGAGGACAAATTAAGTGTGTGTGCGATGCATCGTACATGTGGCTTCATCTCTGCAAGTGTTCCAGACAGTAACATATTTGATGCATTATCGGTGACCAATGCAGGCTTCTTTCCTTCAATCTTCCACTCGCAGCAAACATCACGCAGTAAAGCTGCCAGATCTTCTCCTTTGTGTTCCTCATTGAACGCTCTGGTCTGGAGAACAGGGGTTTTCATGCTCCACTCATCATCAATATAGTGTGCAGTGACTGTTATGTATGACTGAGAAGCACAAGACGTCCAGCCATCCACTGTGATTGCAACTCGCTGTGCATTGCTCAGGGACTCAACTATCTCTCTCCTCACTTTGTTGTACAAAGCAGGGATGTGTGTGTCCCCCGAAACTGGTATTTTGTACCTAGGGTCTAAAATATGGAGGAGTTGTCGGAAGCCCTCGTTCTCTACAACACTGTATGGCTGAATATCTTTACAGATAAAATAGGCGATGGCGCTGGTTATTGCCTGCGAGCGGGCAGAGGTAGCTGCCAGGGGAGTGTCAGAGTTAAAAAAAACTAGAGATACTTCTCTCACCAGTTTTGCTGCTGTTCGCTTTAGATTTATGTGCATCAGTATCATCTGAGGAAGAAGTGGGGGGAGCAGAAGTATCCACGCCATGCCGCCTTTTCATGTGAGTTGCCATGTTCGTCGTGCTGCTAACGTATTTTATAGCAGCACGACACGGTTCCTACACAACGAATAATTTAATTCACGCACATATTTCTAACCAGCCAGCATTACTGGTCTATACAGGAGCAGCTGCGTCAGACGGTCCGACTTAAATGACACCGAATGATGCTTCTGACCTCAGATGTACAATGTGTAGGTTTCTAGAAGAGAAACGCAAATTTCAGCACCACTGATCTGTGTAATCAGACCAAAAGACATGTCCTGTGATTTTAATCATTCGCCACGTGTGTTTGTTGACATTAGAACAGCTGTAGAGAACGGGAGTTCAGCGGTAGTTTAGTAATCCACAGTAGTACTGTTGTGTAGGAACCGTGACGTTTTGGCACCGCCAGTACCATGCTCTCTCTGCAACCTGTTCTGTTTCGATCTCAAAAAGAAATGTTTTGATTGCCACTTACTCTTTTTGCTCTCAAATCTCTTTTTTGGTTTCAAATCTATTCTATCTGATTGAATAATAAAAGAACAAAATTCTCTCCATATATCTCCAAGAGAAAAAAAGTCTTTAAACAGCCCTTAAATCACAGAGCAAATAAATAAGTCACAGCTTGTTCTTGTGTTATAGCTACTTAAATCTAGACTGTCACTCTATATTTCACACACTGGTTGGCCAAAAATATAACATTAGCTCTATTGAACACACACATCTGCAAAAAACATCCTCAGAAAATAGCGTTTCAGATTTCATGGCGGTATCCAAATAACAAACTACATGTTAATGTTCAATGCTTCACTTGGTTTGCAGGCTGCTGAGCCAGCTAGTGCAGTGTAGTTGGACCTTTAGCTGCTCATTAGTGCTAGATAAAGTTTTCCTCCACATTCAGAGGGAGCTACAATATAACTAAACATTAAATTACCATAGCTCTCAATCGACAGAGTTCAGTGTTTTTATCGTTGTTGTGTTGTTGATGTTGTAACTGTGACCGTCCTCCTGCTTCACGGACCAGCAGCAGGTGCAGGTGCTCCTCTCATGGGTCACCTGACCTGCATGGCCAAACGTCAGCTGAGCAGAAATCAGCTCTCACAGCCCAGGTTTTCTACTAGTTTAAGCACTTTTGTCTTTGTTGTAACCAAATGAAGAAGTCGTACACACAGTACTGTATACTGTAGACGTCGCTCTCGAGCTGCAAGTCGCGATTACAAGACAAAACGAACGCAGGTGCGTTTCGTACTGTGTTAGTTAAACATGTAAAACTGGCCCTAAATCAGTTGATCAGCTGTCCTCATTGATTGACAGCATTTCTCTTGTTTCCGTTTCTTATGTTGACGAACTTGACCAACTTCCTATCAGATCTGGGGTGGCCAATGAGCTTTCAGGGGTGGCCCCGGCCAAACCAGGCCACCGCCCAGAATCGCCATTGCTCCTCGCAGCTCGGTCCTTTACCCACCCGACTTTATCAAATCAAGATGAAAACGTTATTTTTGTTGCTTCTCTTCTGTCACGTTTCATCAGCAGGTAAGATCACATTTGGACTCTTTAAGCTCTTTGCTTCACTTTCCACTCGGCTCTGCATTTGACTGCGATAACGTGAGCCGCAGAGTGCATTTGGCTCCTGTAGCTCCAGAAAACAGCACTTTAGTTTCACTATTACTTAAACTTCATAAGACTGACTTTATATGTTTTAATAGAATCATAGGCTGCTGACTGAATACATCAGATTCATGATGGGTCTTTACTGAATGTATAAACTTTGTTTGTCCTGCAGTCAAACACTCTCTGAAGATATTTCGAACTGGATCCAGTGGAGTCCCAAACTTATCAGAGTTTGTAGGATCTCTAGAGGTTGATGGAAGTCTGGTCGGTTACTGCGACAGCAACAAAAATATAGTAGAACCAAAACAGGACTGGGTGAAAAAGATAATTGAAGATGATCCTCAGCACTTTCAGTGGTACACTCAGGAGTGTTTTCAGAGTGGGCCAAACATATTCAAAGTGTGGATTAATAATTTGAAGCAGCACCTCAACCAAAGTGGAGGTAAAGTATTTATGTATATTATATTTTACTTTTACTACTAAAATGATTTGCATCCTGGTTTGTTGTTTGACACACAGATATAGGATAGCTAACATCTGCATATTAATGAATTTGAACTTGGACTGCATCTGAGACTGCAGGTGTCACACAGGTGTGACTTTGTTTTAATAAGAGTTCAATGTGCATATAATTCAACATACCCACTTTGTATACTGCCACTGACAGTCATCTGTCAATTCATACAACAGTAGCTACTATTGTAACTTTTAGCTGTGGAAAATAAATTGTGTTTCATCACTCAGATAAAGTGCACTGATTATCTGCTCTTGAATCATGATCACACCACAAGACACAAGTGTCACACAATGCACAATATTTATAAGATCATCTTTCCACTGGAGATTTCATCTGTATTCTGTACATTGTTAATTACTGTCTCTGTTTCTGTCTCTGTCTCTCTCTCAGGTGTCCACATTTTACAGGACATATCAGGATGTGAGTGGGATGATGAGACTGGAGAGGTTAATGGTTTTAATCAGTTTGGTTATGATGGAGAAGACTTTATATCTTTTGACCTGCAGACATTGACATGGATCGCTCTGAAACCTCAGGCTGTCACCACCAAACTGAAATGGGATTCTGAGGAAGCTAGAATAAAAGTCAAGGAAATTGACCTCACTAAGATTTTCCCTGGGTTACTGAAGAAGTATTTGGTCTTCGGCAACAGCTCTCTGCAGAGAAAAGGTAAAATCACATGACCTGATTTAGTTTGACTGAACTGCCATTGTATTATTACTCCAGTCAGTTTGACATTATCTTATTTTTGGCTGTTGAAGGTATTATTTGATTTAGCCCTGACCAATCAGTAGAGACTGACAGTTGTAGGTGCTCTACATTACTTTCCATCAAAGCTGATACTGTGATAGCCAGACAGTGCACCACTAGCATGAGGTAAGTAAGTTTACACAGATTGTATGGATGGTATCATTAAGGTTTTAACAGTACTACTATTACCAATACTGCTTATCGATCCATTACTTTACTCTTATCAGTTCTTTTATTTTTCATGATATATATAAATCGATAGATAGAACTTTGATTTTGTCCAAATATTGTTATCAGAAATGTTTAGGTCATCCAGGTTTTTATGTCCTTAAGGCCTTTGATCATATCTGGTAAAAAAATGCCAACTAAGGGTAAAACTTCTTTAAGCAGCTTATTTAGGATGGGGTTTAAGAGACAGGTTGATGGCTTAGATGAAGCAATTGTTGAAGTTGATTGGTGGTTGACAGCAGAAAAGCAGTCTAAATATATATATCTGGGTTTACAGCTGTTAAGATTCCTGTGTTAGAAGAGACTTCAGTACCTGTTGAGAGCAGGAGGGGATTCATTTAGTCTCTAATAGTAATGATTTTATCATTAAAGAAGCTCATGAAGTCGTTGCTGCTGAGAGATAAAGGAATACATGGCTGGCTACAGTGCTGAAAGATACCTGGTTGTTTCTCTTGTCCTGTTAATGATGAACAGTAGGCTGCTCTGGCATTACAGAGGCCCTTTCTATATGCTTTAAGACTATTTCTTTCAAATTTCTTATTTGCTTTAATTCACAAGGTTGGTGGTAATACCATCGGGTTAACCTCCTATGTTTTAATTAATATATTCCTTTAACATATTATTCATGGCACAGCCAGGTCTCAGTAAGCCTAAATAAATCTGTATGATAATCTGATATTAATTCATGAATCAGTCCATATTTAATTATTTTATTTTGTGCTGTTGCAGAGTTGGTTTTAATTCTTTTTTAGGTTCATGTGTTTAACTCCTCTTCCCTTTACTTCCTCTTTAAATAATTGAAGTGGTCAGGGGACACAGTCTCTGTAGGGTTCTGGGTGGGTATCTGCTCTAACTAAAGTGCAGAGAAGCGTGTAGGACTGCAGCTCTGCCTCCTGCTCTCAACTCTGGGTTGTCAGGTTTTAGGTTCAGTAATAAACAGTCAGATTTGTAGATAAGAGAGCTGCTCTGTCCAAAGTGGGATGGATGCCGTCTCTCCTAATCAGACCAGATTTTCCCCAGAAAGTCAGCCGAATGTCTATGAAGCCCACATCATTTTCTGGACCCCACCTTGAGCCAGCGGTGGAAGGATGACATGCAGCTGAACATGTCATCACAGTTCATCATTGGTTCAGTTAACTCTGTGTGTGCTCTAAGCTGCTAGCATAGGCTGCTTAACATACCTGAGGTGGATTACTGCTTATCTTCTACCACCATCAGAGGTCATATACTGACATGTTTTTTTTTTTTTCTTTTTGACCTGACTGACTTTGACCTCTGTAATTTAAAATGACTCATAATGCAGATAGATGCAGCATGTCTTTAATTGCTTATATCTGTCCCATTTTCTCTTTCCCTGATTCCTCCCTCTTGAATTTGTCTTTCTCTACCCCCTATCCGTTTTTTCTCTCTCTCTCTCTCTCTCTCTCTCTCTCTCTCTCTCTCTCTCTCTCTCTCTCTCTCCAGACCTTCCCTCAGTGTCTCTCCTCCAGAAGACTCCCTCCTCTCCAGTCAGCTGCCACGCTACAGGTTTCTACCCTGACAGAGCCTTGATGTTCTGGAGGAAAGATGGAGAGGAGCTTCATGAGGACGTGGACCACGGAGAGATCCTCCCAAACCACGATGGATCCTTCCAGATGAGTGTTGACCTGAACCTTTCATCAGTCACACCTGAAGACTGGAGGAGGTACGACTGTGTGTTTCAGCTCTCTGGTGTGAAGAACGACATTGTTACCACACTGGACAAAGCAGAGATCAGGACCAACTGGGGTAAGACTGGAAATAGTTTTGTCTGTCCACTAAAGCTAGACCTCCATCATAACTACAAAGTTTATGTCCTAAAACTTGTGTTGTCAACTCCACTGTTATGTAGCTGTTGTCAACTGTAGAAGGGTTGATTGGATGTTAACTCAGTTAACTATCAGTTATGACAGCGTTGTACTCTTCAAAAGGTTGATCGGATGTTAACTCTTCGCTCTAATTTTACATCTTAATCCTCAGATTGAGTATTAATCTGGTTTACAACTTGGGTCATATTTTCATAGTTTTGGCCGTCATTTCTATCAGTTATGACAGCGTTGTACTCATCAAAGTCCTCAATAATATCTGGGGACACAGTGACATCAGTACAACACACAAGCATGTAAGTGGGAAACAAGATTCTTAGCTCTGAGCTCTCAAACACATGTAAGTGTCAAAGGAATCCAGAACTATACTTTTCATGTGACTGAAATACATTCTGTTTCTCACTTTACTGTCTTATTCACACAATCTGCTCCTCACACTTCAATACTAAAGTGAATCCTGTAAACTAAACATATTTATCTCCTTCCAGTGGGAGAGACAAAGTGTGAATGTTCTGTTTTGGCTCCAGTTTCTCCCTCAGAGTTTCCTGCTGGTGCTGTTATTGGAGTTGTTGTAGGACTGCTGCTGCTGGCACTCTGCATCACTGGACTCTTCATCTGGAGAAGGAACAATAATGGTGAGTGAAGCCATTTTTACTCCACTGGATTGAACATGTTCAGTAACTTTACTGCCAAAAGAACACAGAGGTCCTCAGCAGACGTACTGTATATACTAAGTGAAAGAGTTGCTCTCCTACATTTTTATTCAGAGCAGAGATCTGTGACATTCATGAGGAATTTCTTCCTATAAATGTGTTTTATTTTGTGTCCTGTCATACATTCTGATTTAACTTTGTTAATCTCTCATCTGTATTTCAGGATTCAGAACTGCAAACAGTAAGTTTTTTTTCTAATGAAAAATAAAATATATTTGTTTTATTATTTTTTATGAAAACTTTAATGTGACTGTCATTATTTACTCCTGAGTATTAGTAATCAATCATTCATCTTCATACATTCCTGTCTCTCATTTATAATTATATAATTTAAATTTATTTCACTTTTTGCTTCTAGCTTCAGATTCCTCATTGCCATTGGACAAAACTCCAGCTCCTGACTGATCACAGTGAGTATGTCATTGTTTCAACAAGGCTGTGCACATATTATGTTCACCGACATAATGTACAATATCCTTCCCACCTGAATTACATGCAGCTTATTTTTATAATTTACAAAAACATTCTGCATGAGAAAGAATTTTCTCAGTCCATCCATTATAACTACAGGAAGCAGATGGCTCTGGGGTTTTATGATACTACTCCAGAAATCAAAAGTGGAAAAAGTTTTCAGATCCTTTTCTTAAGTACATGTACCAACACAACAATGTAAGAATACTCTGTTACAAGTCAAAGTCCTGCATTCAAAATCCTACTGTATTAAAAGTATTCGTTATGATGAAAAATGTTACAATATTACAGGTGGAGCTAGTTTTTACTGCTTTATGTACAGTTTATATATAGAAGTATAAAGTAGCATAAAATAAAAAATAAAATGAAGTTCCACCACTGTCAGAAACAGATAATCAC